ACTTCCCCAGCTCCGAAACTTGCGACAACTCGACTTCCCTTTCACGCACTCCAAAGCCCGTGGTAGAAGCGTCAGTGACCGTCGCGGTCGACGACCACGGCAGGTCGAGCTGGCTCCCAAGGCAGCACCGAAACAGCAGAGAAGATCCACGCCTCGAAACGGAAGGAGCGTTAAAGCCGGCACGTCCTCATATAACGATCTTTAATAACATCGTAGAGCGCACGGGGCACTGCCGTGCCCGCGCGGTTGAAGATAGCGGCTGCCACACAATGGCCCACGCTCACCTCCACCTGACGGCCCGTTGCGATGGGAACGCTCGCAAGCCGCTGGAGGGCTCCACGCGGCAGCCGACGCTTCTGCCCAGCCCGTCGGGGGACTCGGGGATGGCCGCCCGCGTCAGCCCCCAGGATAATCGAGTGCGCGCAGGCGTCGGATACCTCATGCATGCTGAAGCCCTCCTGCGCAAAACGGGGCACGACGCGGCCCCTCAATTCGGTGACCTCGTCCGCCTTCACCCGTGGCACGTCGATGTTGCCCGAGTGGGGCAGCTCCGCCAGGCCAGAGCTCATGGGTGGCAGCGGCCAAGCCCCAAGGGCCATCTTGCTGTCAGGCTGTCATGGACCGCCGCCCGGCGCAGCATCTCGAGATGGACTCGCCGCGCCAGCCAGAAGCTCCAGCTCCACCCCAGGGGGGGCGCCGCGAGGCAGGAATGCACCCTGCGTCGCCCCGCCATGCCCAGCCTGACTATGTCGCGGGCCAGGCCGAGCTCGACCGCCACGCCCTCGGTCACCGAGGGCAATCAGAAGTAGTTGCTCAGATCCCCGGTGCCTCCGCACAAGTAGAAGCGCGCCTCGATGTCGGCCGAGGCAGGCTCGAGCGCGATGGCACTCGTGGCTTCGGCGCTCCTAATCTCGACGGCGGGCGCGCGGCAAAACGAGGCATGGGCGAGGCGACAGTCTAACGCCAGCCTCTGCTTTCCGTTCTTGTTGGAGACAAAGAACGGGGTGGCGAGGCTGCACTTCTCCGACGCAAGCCCCAAGAGACGTCGGCCACTCGGGCGCCGGAGGACATCCACATCTGCCGTCTTGTTCGCCCTCAAGTTGACGTCGACGTAGGGCGAGACGGCGTGCCCCCCCCCCCCCCCCCTCCGCTTGAACGCGACGTCAGGGCGCGCGAGAATGAGGTTGTCAAAATTGGTCAGCACCTTCCGAGCATCGCCATCCAGCACCTTCGCGAGGTCCACTGGGTCACGGCCAGAGGGAGGAAGGGGCAGCCGACCAGCATCACGCGGTTCCACTGCGGCGCCGCCCCCTCCATTGTCGATGCGAAGTCCCAGAAGCTGAGGCGCAACATCACGGGGTAGAAATAAATCAAAATTCTGCCGGACCTCCCTCGCGGCTTGCGCTGGGATTGCCGGTCCCACCGCGTCGCGCTCGCAGCCGTAGAGGGCGTTGGGCGCGGCCGCCATGTTGTCTGCATCGTCTAGTGCCAGCCGGCGGCATGCACTGCGACTTCGAGCCGTCCTGGGCGACCCGGCATCGACCCTCCTCGAAACCTCTGCCCCGACGAAGGGCAGCGGGATAAAGTTCCCGAGGCTCTCCGAGAGGTCGAGGCCCTACGTGGTTTAGGCGGAGGGTCGGCGCGTCGCTGCGCATCGCCCCACCGCCATCGGCCCCTCCGCGTTTGGCTGCTCTTGGCGCTGGGAGTGGGGTCGCCAGTAGGGGCTTCGCCCATCCCCCCTCCCACGAGGATCCGGCTCATTTTGCTGGCGGTGGGGCCTTAGCACCAGTCGCCGCCGCTTTTGCTTCCGCCTTGGCCTCCCTGGCTTTTCTCATCTCCTGCTCGATCGCCGCCTCCTCCGCCATCTCGGATGCCACGTGGGCGCGGAGCGCAGGTGTCGCTGTGGCCCCAGCACCCCCCTCCTCCTCTCCCATGTAGATGTGCGAGCCCTCGAACGCAGGCCGCTCAGGATCATCGCGATGGGCGGCCTCGATGAGCATCCGCCGACGGCTCAAGAACTCGCAGCGCGACAAGTTCGCAATGTTAAGCCCGTCCGACTCCATCGCGGAGGTCAGGGCGCGGCGTGGGGCTCTGTGTTCATGTCCAGATCGGGAACTGGCCGCAAGCCTCGACTCATTTAGCCAACGGTCATGGCCAGCCGCGAACCCTCCGAGAGACCGCGAGCCCAGCTCCTTCACCGAGCCCCCGAGAGTCCCAGGGCCCCTGGTTCTCAGGGGCACCGACGGGTCGCGCTTGACCATGTCGAGGTCGAAGGCGACGGGCGCGTCGGAACGCGGCCGAGGGGGCATGCGCGGGTCGCCCTTCAGCAGCCGGTGCTGTTGATCCCGCCCCCAAGCATCCAACTCAGTCCCGCCAGCCACCTGCGTGATTGACGCGACTACCCCATCGACCGCCACGAACGCGCGTCCACCGACGTCGAGAGCGGCGGCGGGGCGGGGCACCTCCTGACCGAGCATGTAACCGTCCAGGGGCTCGTCCAGCACCCGGGCCCACGCGGCCCCCGCCAGGCGTGGCGCGGCGGGCGCGGCGGGCGCGCCCGGCAAGGGAGGCGGCACTGCGGGCAACGGCGTCGGTGCCGCGGCCGGCGCCCCGCACCTCCCGGCCCCGAGCGCGCGGCGGCCCCCGGCGGAGCGGCCGGCCCCCGCGCGGCCCTCTCGACCTGCGCGCGCCGCTCGCCCTCGGCCAGCAGCTGTGCGAGCTCCCCCGCGTTTGGCCGCGCCTGGAAGCGGTAGATCCGCGCCCCGGGCAGCCCGGAGGGCAGCTGGCCATCTGCGCCCCCCAGCCGAAGAGCCTGGAGGTCGACGTTGGCGGCGCCCACCTGCTCAATGAACATGTCTAGAACTGGCGTCAAGACGACGTACTCACTCGCGATCGCCCAGCAGAGGATGATTCGCTCATGAAACTTAGGCTTGGACGATCACTCCACCCCAGCCCTTGCCCTTTCGTAGAACCACGGCACCGCCGTCAGCGACCTGCGCGATCGTCGGGCCTGGAGTCTCGATCGGGCTGGTCTAGTCGAGCGCCGCGGAAGGCGCGGTGTCTCCTCGCCGCCGCGTGCACCCTCCCGCCCGGAAGGCCCCGGCGGCTCTCCCGAGCGCGAGCCCGGCGGCCGCCGCGAGCACGACGTCCCACGTCCTCCAACCCGGCGGTGGGCAGATCGGACACGTCGGGCAGACGGGCGCGTTGTCGGCCGGGCCGCGCCGGTTGAGCTGCTCGCGAAACAGCTCGATGAGGCTCACGTCGACGGGGCCTCCAGAGCAGTGACAGTGAAGGGGCTGTGGAACTATCCAGCTGCTCAGCCAATTGCCAACTGCGCCGGTCACTACTCCGTGGAAATAGGCCGTGAGGATACCCAAGATACACGCAGGAGACCTGTGAGCCAAATGGTTGCAGAGCAAGCAGTCGAGAGACTGCCATTCCACGCCCCCCCCTGACACTCACTACCCTGTGCACAGAACCATCATCACCTTCAAGGTCAAAAATATAATTCTTGGTTGCGGGCCGACGCCTTGACCTTGGCCGGACAATCGTGCAACCATGCCAGCGATCAATTGCGGACGGCTCTATTATAATCGCGTGATTAGTAGCAATCTTCGCCATGCTTATGAATTTTCTCCTCTGGAAAAATAAATAAAAAATGGGCCTTGCCGCTAAAAATTCGGATCTGGCCGATCTCCAGAACGCAGTCGGTGACCTTGTTCCCGCCTCGGCAAGCGAGTTCCATGTCGTTGCGCCGATCGCACCCGCCGAGCGGATCGTCTATCGTCTGGTTCGGGTTGAGATAGGACAGCGCCACCTTGAACGTGGAGTAAGTGCTATAGGCTAAGTACTTGGCGTGCATCAGGAATACAAGCATCCTCCGCAAGAGTTTCCGGCGACCGCACCGTGACTTTCACGCCCTTCTGCTTGAAATACTCCAGGCACGGATGCTTCTTGAAGTTTGGCTGTGAGACAACGAGACCCTGTTGGAATCCGTTGTTTTGGCCAGCTACCATCTGAACAAATGAACATGGTGCGCAATTTTTCGATGGCTGCAACCGTTGATCGCCAGATCTGAGGTGAATCACAAGTTCGCGCGCGCGGATAAACGTCTCTGCATTACATGCCGCCCGACCTTCACTTACCAAAGATGGCAACACATATGTTCGCAGAGCGTCCGTGTAGTCGGCCAGCACGATGCCAACACACCTTACAATGTAACACGCGCTATGCTGCAACTGGTATTCATCGAGCCTGCAATTGACCCGGGCCCGAAAATCACGGTCAGACTCCACGTTGAGAATCTCTGGCGATGCGAACACCTTCCGTCTCGGTCCCTCATCCGGTATGGTTACTTGCAAGGCTCCGGATGCTTTCGCTACGAATATAGCGTGCGCCGCTTGAATCAAATTATTTCCAAGGCGCCCATGCCATTTAGATACCACAATGTCGCCACCAACCGTTTGTCGCAAATAAGGCTTCTCACCGGCCACGTCATCACAAGTGTTCCATTGCCCAGAAGGCATTACACAACTAACGCAAAATTCTGTCGCGGCGGAGCGAACCCTCTCCGCACCCTCAAACGGAATATTCGCAACGCTGATAGCGCCGGCTCCTGTTGCTAACACCGAAAGAATAATACAAACAGGAAACAGCCTTTGAAACATGTTCACAATCCGAAGGGAATGTTCCGCGTCGCAGAGCGGTAAAAGCATACAAAATGAATATCCTTCCAGTCTTTGCAGCCAAAACAGTCTTGAGCCAAAATTGCTACGGATGAGCAGAAGCCTTTTATTTTGAGGGGGGCCTCCTCCTTGGCTGGTCAAAGGGAGTACGAACAACCCAACCAGGCGTAGGCTGGGTTAGCAGGTTACCTCGAGAGGGAAATCCCTGAACAAACCTGGGGGCACCCCTTCCCTTTTGGTATGCTTAGGCCTTCATGTTCAATCAAGTCCTGGACGACGTGACCAAGCAAACCGAGAGGCGAGGCAAAGGCAAGCCTGGACGCTGTTGACAGCGATTCGCGCTGGGCTCGGGCCGTACTGGCTCGAGGGCTCCATGTCCGCCTGCGGCACAACGAGCTCGAGACTAGCTCCCGGCTCCCACCCGCAGCGATGACACGGCGAATTGCTGGCATTGGTGCGACAAGCGATCGAAACATGGTCGCAATAGCGTGGCTGGAGATCATGAGCGCCTTCTCCGCAGGCCCAATGCTCCATAGAGAAACTTCAGAACTCAGAAAGTCCAAGATGGGGGGCCCATTCACGAAGACCAAAAGCGAGCCCCTCCAAAGACAGGGTTCACCTTTAGCCCAAGTGACAACTGCAACCGATCACTGCCGTAGTTGTGCCATCGCAGAAACAGAACGGCACCGCTACTGGGTAAACCAAAAGGTACCCATACCGCTACTCCATTGACCTCTCTCAAAGTGCGCTCTGACCAGAATTTCAAAGCGAATCCAGCGGCGAGGACGACGGAGGGGTCGCGGTATCGGCACCTTTTCCTCCTCTGAGCTACCGCCCCTCCCAGGTTCTCCCCCGGGGTGCGTCCTGACCAGGCAGTCGAAGCGAACCCAGCCGAGGCGACGCGGGAAGGGCTGCAATATCGCCAACTGTTCATCCTCGGAGGCGTGACCCACTAGCGGCCCTCGGCAAGACACCTCTTTGTACGAGACGTGTGTACGATCTTATGCAACTCCCTACCGCTGCTGCTCACAAGCATCCAATTTTGACCCAGCTGCCTCCTTGAATTTTGACCCAACTGCCTCCTTGAACTGGTGCCACTGCCAAAGGCGATGCTGGCCCGTGAAGGAGCGGGAGGGGTGGGAGAGAACCAAGCGCAGGGGGAGGGAGGAAGAGCCACCCCCTTTGACAGAGAAGGCCCTGACAAGAAGAGCCGCAGGCACCACTGCGCACCCTGCTCACGCGAAGGGAGAACCACATTCATCCGTGGCTGTTGGGAGCGGCCTCCCCGAACATCCGTGTTTCAGCACCCGTGCCCCTCGCGTGCAAAAATCTGCAGCGAAGGGGGAAGCAGACGCACGCGCGGCCCCGCAGATCCTCGGCAAAAACGCCGAGCGGACGCCCAAAGCTGCGCCAAAGGCGAGCACCGCGCGCTGAGGGTGCGGGGCAGCATTCGGTGGTGGACAAACCTCCCTTTAGTGAACCTCCCTTTGGTGAAAACAACCTGGGACCGAAACCGACGGACCTGCACCTGCAAAAATGACGGCCGCGACGCCCTCTCGCGAACCGAAAACGGCCAATGCCTTCACCGGCGTGTCAGGGCAGGAGGTCTGTCAACCTCCGAGGCATCCGGGGGCAGCTGGCTCAGGGTGGAAATGAAGGGGCCCCAGGACACACAAATAGATACCAACGAATAAAACTATTCCCCATATTTTCCCATGTGTTCTGAGTTTTTGTCTTCCCCCCCCACTTCCCATATCTTCCCATATTTTCGGGGGAATCGACGATTCATTGTGTCTGTGTGTTTTTTCCCTCCTGATAGGAGGTCTATCAACCTCCTAGGCATTCGGGGGCAGCTGGCTCAGGGTGGAAAGCATCGAGCTCGACTCTCGGGTCGGGCGAAAAGGGGGGGATAGCAAAGGGGGGGGGTGAGAATCGGCTCACGTAGCTGATTTTCCCGGCGCCTCCCGGCGCCGGGAGGCGCCCACGTATCGAGGAATGTGCCCCTCGGTGAGGCCGAAACCAGCTGCATGCAGCAAATTTCGTAACCCCCCGAGCTTGTTTTTTTTTAGATCCAGGCAAGCTTACTTGCATGGCGTTCGCCCACCCCCCCCCCCCTCTCCCCCCTCTCCCCTCTTCAATCGAACACGAGCGTGCAAGTGCCTTTCGACTTGCGTGATTTCCGCACGTCGAATTGTTTTCGGCTTGCCTCAGACTCAGCCCCCCCCCCCCCGCCGTCCATGCAAGCAAACTTGCCCGAATCCAAAGAAACACAGGCACCCCCTTTCCCAATCCCCCCCTTTCGCCCGGCCCGAGACTCGGCGATGTGCGCCGCCGGACAGGTCGGCGACGGGCCCCCCCGAGATAGCGCGAGTGTCCGCACGTGCCCGGGGGCGGGGCGGGCCTCTCGGGCCACTGCTGTGTACCGCCGATCGGTGGGGGGATCTCGGGTGGGTCGATGCTCCCCCCCCGCCCCTGAGCCTGCCCCCTCCAAGGACCGCCCCTGGCTGTCGGTGGGGGGAAGACAAACCTACCTCGCTTTTGACCGCCCTCGCTTCCAAGAGATGCCAAGCGGTGCCCAACTGCGGCCTGTGCTGGTCAGGCCGCTCGACGAGGAGGCGCGTGGTATGACTCGGTTTTTCCTGGAAGCGAGAGCGGGGTGGGTAATTCACGCTTTGAGATCGGTGGGCGATTTTTGGGGGGGTCGATGCTCCCCCCCGCCACCCCTGAGCCTGCCCCCTCCGAGAACCGCCCCTGGCTGTCGGGCCATATCTGCGGTCACAGTCGGACTTGATTGGAGAGGCCGCGCGAGAGGACACAAGACCCTTCCGAAGGCCACATCGCCATAGGAGTGTAAGAAGGCACATGTCGCGAGGCACAGGACACTAGGGTACCCTTGAGCTGGCAGGGCCGACCTGCTAATCAGGGCCGATTGTATGGATGCCATGGCAGTGGACACCCCAACAGTCCTGCCATCGGATCATAATGCGGAACAATGCTCCCTACACGCTTGAGACATGCTCTTCCAAGTTCGAGAAATGTTTGAAACACTTGTGTCAGACATCTGGGAAACATCTGGCAAAACGCTTCCTCTCCATTGATCGCCTTCCACAAAAAATGCGGCCTCCGGCGGCCGTTCGGAACGATCCGGGCACCCCGCGAACGCCCTCGGCGAGGCGCACGCAACTGGAGGGCATCCCCGAGGCCGAGAGGCATCCAGGAACCGTCTGAGAGCGGCCGCAAGCCTCGAACTCCGCACTTCGAGGGATCGATCCTCCTTAACGTTGTGTCGGGCATGTCCTCCTACATGGCTGGACCTAAACGTTGTTTTTTGTTTTGATTTCGTTTTGTGTGTCGTTTTGCTCTACCTGTTCTCTTGTACCTCCCTGCCAAAGCGGAAAACAGAACACAGCCGAAGTCCAGCAAAACAGCGTTTAGGTCCAGCCCAGTCCTCCTGCAGGCGGATTTTGAAAGAAACATGGAACATGATCAAAAACATACTCGAACATATCCCAACGTCGTCGAAGAATCGTCCCCAGACTGCTCTTTTGCCTACTTTCGAACAGTCCTCCTGTGAAGGGCCATGCCCGACGTAACCTCAACGCTGCCCCCGAGAAGGAGTGGGAAGGAGCGGGGTCCTCGACGAGCCCGGCAACCAGTGCCGCCGTCCTGTGGTCGAGCGCGGCGGGGAGCAGTGCGGCGGGAGGGGCAAAGGGAGGGGCCCCATACGGGCGCTGGGAAGGACAGGGCAGGTCTGCGCTGGATCGGATCGCGAAATCGGATCGAATCGGGAACAGACGGGGTCGCCAGCGCATCTTCCAGAATCGAATCGACACCGGATCGCCGCGCCTGGCTCAGGCCGGCGTCGATCGATGCCAATGAACCGACACGAATCGGCCGAATCGGAATCGCGGCCCCGGCCGGCGAATCGAAATGCATCGATTCGGATCGTGGGCGGCCCTGCAGGGTGCGGCGGAACGGCGGACAGCCGAGCGACGAGAGGACAGGGATCTTTCGCACGGTGGCAAGGGACAATACGCGGTGGCCTACGCGGGCCGGCAGCGTGGCACACCGCGTGCAGAAGAACCGTTCATGCGCGATCTTCGGCGGGGAACTTGCGCGCGAATGTAGGCGCAATCGGAATCGACCCCGTTTTCTTCAGTTGCTCGGCTGAGCCAGCTGGAACAACATATACTCCGACGTGCCTTCATAATCATGCTAGAAACTCCTAGAATACACGGCAGTGGCCCGAACCGAAACGCACGTCAGTCTCGGGTGTGCCCAAGACAAAAAAGACCAGCACGAGGGGAGGGAAGCGATAGCGGTACCCGCAGACACAGAACAAATATCAAAAAAGCCGTCCGCCGCGATATGCTTTTGCCACGACGCAAAAAGGCCTGGGGGGTGCCGCCCGCCCGAAGCGTCGGGGAGCGTCCAAGGAGGGGATGGCGGCCGAGAGGGGGGCTCGCAAACCATGGCCCGCGGCATGTTCTCGGACGAGGTGGGGAACGGGGGACGTGTGGGAGGAATAATGATAAGAAGACTCATGCGAGACGATTAAAAATACGACACATAAAATTAAGAAGACAAATAATGATATGGCGCTGGCCATGATATCTACTCCCTCTAAAAACGCATTATCTTTCGGCGATGGTCCCGTTTATCCAGTTGTGCAGGGGGGAAGGAAGGCCGGCCGATAGCCTAACCTGTTCGCTTCGGGCAGCTCCATGTGTGCCCTCGCGCGCGCCAGTACTGCGTACCCCCTGCTCGGACCTGCGCAGCGGACAAAGTCAGGCGATGAACGGCGGGGGGCGGGAGTGCGGGGGGGCCCGATAACCCCGGCAATCGCCGGGCCCAAAGAACAATCTTCTATACAGTCGGACCTAGGCTAGAATAACATTCTCCAACAAGATGAGACCCTCTGCTGGCCCAAACACCCCAAACCATAAGATCATCCGAGGGGGCCCTCCTTCAGGATGCGCAAGAACATCCAGCAGGCACGAAGAACAATAGGGTACCTTCCCCGAACCGAACTCGATCTTGTACCGCGGTCCGACTGCAGGGGGGACACACTGACGTGAACATGAATTTTCGGAGGTCTGTGCGGATTCCTCGGATCGGCGCTGGGGGCGCTCTGCAGGCAGCGAGGGGAGGTGCTCTGCAGGCCGTGGGGGCCTCCTTTGGAATCCTGGGAGCGCCTTGGGCCAGGGGCCTCCTTTGGAATCCAGGGGCGCCTTGAGATCTGAAGCTTCGGAAAAAATGCAGCACCGCAAAAATAACGACTGGAGCCCCGGACCCCATCTTTCGGAGTTATCTTTGGGGCTGGCTCAATCTGTGAGAGTCCCAGGGACCGAAACGGGGCGAAAACGCAAGTTGTGACAAAAGTGCAGCGCCAGGAT